GCAGGAGATCCCTCACCCTGGGGGCTGGGTCTCGATACCTACGGGGTGCACACCCTAAATTCCCCTCCCTGGGACAACTCAAACATGGCTCTACTGGAGAGACAAGCACCACCAGAGGAGACGCTGGAGCGATCTGATGAGTCGGGGCACGGAGGGACCGGCAGCCAAGGACCAGCCCCACGTCCAAATGGCCTCCCCTAGCAAAATGTTTGCAACCTCATCCTCTGCTAAAAAGGCTGTTTTTGTGGGAGAGGTTGATGTGGGGGATGCGGGGTGGTGACACAGGGGGTAAGGGGATGGGGTGAGTGACATCACCCCGCTGCTGTCGCTTTCCCTTTCAGTAATAATATTACAAACTCAGTGCAGGCAACTCCCCCACTCGCTGCCCGGCACAGCAGAAGGCAGTGATCTCGAGGGCAATGTGGAAAGCCCGCGTCTGATCTGTGGGGACAGGGTTTAGAAATGCAGCACACAGTGAGCTAAGCAAGAATTAGGCCAGAAATGAACACTCACAAAAGCCAAACTAAGAAAAGCCCCATCTCCACCTTCAGCAATGCCACATCCCGTAGCCTAGTGGGGACCAGCCCTGGGCACCGAGTCACCGATGTCACCTCCTGCCACCACAGGGCATCCCCAGCCCTGTCCCACCACCCCTCCCAGCCCTGCAGCTAGCGCGGCTCCGTGTGGCTGAGGGAGAAAAGCATTCCTGTCTGAGAGCTGCCGAGGGCCGGGAGCTGGGCCTGGGTCCTTCAGGGAGGCAGCTTTTGAGGGATTGTTTGGGGAGCTTTGCTCATGGTTCCCCCCCTCCCCAGCAATGTGGAAGAGAGGTGCGGGGCCCCGCCATGACGGCGGAGAAACCTCGGAACAGGAGCACCCCCTAAAAGCCTGAGGAACACGTTGGTGTTGCAAACGTCTGCTGCTGTGCCCATATGTCTGCTGATTTCCATACTAAAGACATTTACTGTATATGTTTGCCACCGGGGAAAACTCCTGTCTACGACTCAGCTATATTACTGGAAGAGCAGGAGTGGTATTTGTGCTATTCTGAATATTGCATTTCCAGGACCTGCTCTATGGCTTTCGAGATCCTCCTTCCAGCTTCCCACGTTCCCCCCCGGCCAATTAGCGAAAATGTCTGGTTGGGGCGACGGCCCCTTCCTCTGCACGGCAACGCCACGCCGAGAGACTCGTGCAAAACTGCGAGCAATCCCTTCTTGGCATTGGGAAGCATCGTTCGCAAGCCAGTGACCGAGGGATGAAATGCAAATATAGCATTTCTTGTAAAGGAAATTAAGCTAACAACGAGGTAACAAACCGCTGTTAATATTAGATTAACTTGTTTGGCAAGATATGAAGTCGAGCAAGCTGGATTGTCGATAGCGCCGTGCTCAATAGCGCTAATGCTGCTCAGGGAAGTATAACATCCCTCTGAAAGACAGAGGCACGCACCAAAAAAAAATAAAATTAAGAGTGGAGGAAGAGCCAGAATCTGTGCAGCAATTACACCAGCATTAAAGATGAATGGAGGAGAAGCTTGAGATTTTGATTGCCTTTAAATACTGGCTTGTTTTTAATCTTGAAATCAGACTGTGCTGTGATCAGCCATTAGCCCCGACTACAGAAAAAAGAGAGGAAAAGATCTAGATTTTAATATTTGTACTATGAACTTAAAATACCACTTTGATGTAAGATAAGGAGGCAAATGGCAGATAATTCAGAAGTTAAAGCCAGTTGTGTGTGGTTGGCAGCTGGCAGCGGCTGGGCCGACTTTGGGAGTGATGGAGACTCGGGCAGAGGGGTCACCAGCAGCCGTGTCCTCAACGTGGGGACTGAGGCATGAGCTTAAATGTCATACTGTATGCCAGTGGTCACTAAACTGATTAAGCAGTGGTTATCTTTAGCAGTAAAAAGGCTATCTGCTAATACTAAATGATTAGAGTCTAAAATGCCATTTACTCTGCTCTGATTCCTTGAATGAATATTTATGCCAAGTGATGACTATAACACCATCAAAAGGTTTCCGTGCTCTGCTCCGTAGAGTGGAAGTGATTATTCAACAGCAGGTCTGCACTCCAGCACTTGTTTCTATTAAGCAAATTTGCAGCGTTCAGACAAAAAATCATGATTGCATTGTCCTCTTGGGATTTTTATTTTTAAAGAAATCCCACTTCCAGTGCTCTCCGGGGCACGGGCTGTGGCAGGTGGACCTGGTCCACTGTGCAGACACAGAAAAGAAGGATATAGATGCTGCACAATTTCTCCCTTGTTTTTTTTTTGGTTTGTTTTTTTTTTTTTTTTTTAAATATAAGAGAACTGGACTTTGCTGTGTCCCATTCAAGAGCAAGAAGCTGTGTCCCGTCCCACCCAGCCAACCAGCCAGGGCTTTTGCATGAAACAGCATCATGAAATTCCTTGTTAGGCGTAAGGAATCGGATCTACAGCCTCAGTGACAAACCAAGGGGGCTGCCTGTCAAAAATGAAGCCGCTGCACGCTGGTGGGGGAGCACCGCCTGCGTTTCGCAGCAAGAAGTGCAAGGAGACAACGAGATGCCCAAAGTGCCATCGCAAGTGAGTCACAGCCCAGAGGTGCTCTTCGTGAGGGTTCAGTCTGTCGTAATAAACCACCCTGATGTTTGCCCCTCCCCAGGAGGAGCGACCCATGTTGTTCTGGTAACATCCCCTGTCACCACTGGACATCTGCTTGCTCCCACGTTGCTAACCGTTGTTCCTTTCATCCTTGGCTCCAGGCTTCCTCTACACCATATCGCCGTGCTGCCGGTACCATGTCAATGGCAGCCATTGAGACTACACCTTACGGTGTCTGTTCCCGCTTACTGGTTATTTTGTCCCATTTACCAGTCCATGACTCATTTTTTGCTCCAAGTTCCTGGGCTGCCTTCTGCTGACTCAGCCTGTTGCATTGCCACGTATCAAACCCTCCCACCCCAAACCACCCTTATCCCCAGATGCATCCAAACGTGCCCGTCTCCCATACGCCTCCCCTGCAGAGCCCGTGGTGGGGCTCACGTATGCAGCAAGACATGGCTCACACCCAACCAAGTGCCATTTTTATTCACCCAACAGTAGAGTGGGATTCCCCACACCAGTGACTCTCTGTCCAGCACGCTCCTGCCTCTGGGGTGATATTCCTGCAGCCTTCCCAGAGATGATGTATGAGAGATGTGGCAGCTGCTGAGCCGTTATCCGGCATTAGCCAACCAGCTCTGAAAAGTTATGCTTTCCTCCTCCCTTTCTTCTTGAAGCAAGGAGACCACCTAAGCCAAGAAAAAAAATGCTTTCTGGATGGTTTTAGTACCATTCACTGGGGGACTTTTTGGGTTTTTAAACTGGTGCCAAAACTCTCCTTAAGAGTCGGAACTAAATCCGAACAACTCCCCCCCACCACAGCTTGTTTGGCGAGGGGGGTTGGTTTGGTTTGGTTTTACTGCTCCCATCTTCACCATGGGACAACACCCGTGTCCTGCCATTGAGCGTTAATTCCAGCACACCCCATGGGCAGGCGGGTACCCGTCACTCCGGAGCAGAGGCAGCGGCAGGCTGGCAGCCCATTTCCAAGCAAGGAATCAAAATGTTTGGGCCACAAGCTGCTCCTTCAGTAGCCCCAGCGTGGCCACCTGCAATAATCTCTCTAAGAGCATCGAGTCTACAGTTTCTCAACAGACAACCACCACCCCCCAACCTCAAAAGGCACTAAAATGGAATAGCAATTAAAGTGCCACCTATCCATAGGCAGCTATAGGTGGCTTTTTAATTGCTATTCCATTTTTATGGTAATAAAAGGGGCACGGGGCCACTTTGGGTCCAACCCAACACATCGGTTTATAAAGAAAAAATCACTCAATCAGTCCACACTTTTGAGGTGGCTTCAGATGACAGGTAATATTTTGAAGTATACTAAGTGTCTGATGGCGTTTTGCTTCTGTTTAGCCATTATTCAACCTGGATGTACATAAAAGCATTTCATGCAACAGGCAGGGCAGCACCAAGCTGCGCTGCACGTGGCATTTGCAATTCAGAGAACACACACGTGACCCAGGACCAGTAACTGATGAAGTCACCTGAGAAAAAAGTATTTGGTGTCTATTTATTAGAGGAAAGCAGGGTAAATCTAAGAAAAAGCAAGAAGACAAAATAAATAGAATTGCAGCCATCCTTTACAGCTACTGGTGCGCTGTATTAAAGTGACACTCACAGTACAAAGAAATGTGTTTGGTACAGTCCAGTGGGTTGCACATGAATTGCATAACCTTGAAAATCATTGCACAAAGCATCGCAGCAGGAACGCAGTTCAGAGCTTTTCCACGGGAGATGCTTCAAATCCGATCGCTTTCCTTATGTGGGAGGTCAAAGCACCTGGCACAGAGTAAGCAAAAAGGGCTGGAGAAAGGGATGCTGCGTCAGCGCCTGGTTGCCTTCAAACCCTGACATCAGCTCTCGCAGCAGCTCTGACCTGGACAAGCGATGCCCTGCAGGAAAACCCCACTGCCTATGAAAGCATTGAAATGAATATTGTGATCAATGCCTGGGCACCTCTCGGCAGGGCTGGAGGGAGCCCGTTCCTCGCAGCCCAGACTGGAGACACCGTATCAGCCGGCCAACCGGCGCTTCTGGCCATGGAAGTGCTCTGTCTGAATTCATAGAGGTGAAAAACGAGGTGACTCTCAGCCACCAGCTCAGCCCTGCGCAGCAGCCTTGGTGGGACCCAGCTGGTGACAGCAATGGTTCCCGGCCATCACCCACCCGCAGCTCGTTCACTCCCGCGCAGCAGGTTTTGGGCGACAAGTCTCCGCATAGACCAAACAGAGAGGTCTAACTCTGCAGCAGCATTTCTTCCCCGTTTGTGTGTGTGAGCTCCTGCCTCTGTTTTTCTTCATGCAGCTTCCAGAGATCCTTGTCTATATTTCTAACGTTCTGCTCAAACACCAAGCACGGGAAACACAGGCTTTCACCGCGTGGGGAACAAACCACAGCTAAGATGACCAGGAAACATTCATAATTTTTAATTCACACCAGTAATAAAATTGCATTACATTTTTCATAAAATAAATGTTCCAGTTTATATACAGAAAACAGACTGTACAGAGCCCTCCCCCAGACCCCAAAAACTCACAAACATACAGGCAATGCAGTGCTCAGCTAAGCAGGCACAACTGTACATCTAAAATTGTAACTGCTTTGTGTTGGGGGGGAAAAGTACTACAATGTATATAGTCCTCTCTGGACCAAGAATTAAAAAAATATTGCAGGCAAGCTGACAGGCGCCCTCGCTGCTCGCGCGGCCGAGCGCCCATCCCACAGTGCTTCAGCGAAGCAGGGTTTGCTATTGAACCTGGGACTCGAAGCTCCCGTTCAGCTGCCCTTCCTCATAGTCCATCTGACACAAGATCATGTTGTTCTTCAGGAAGAATTTGTCTCCCACACAGAACCTGGAAGAGAAAAAGAATGAATGGGCGTTAAGTATGAACAGAGGTTACAAGGGGGAATTTGAGGTAGATGGGGTTTGAAGGCAACTCTGGGGACCGGAGTTTGGTATCCAGCTCCGCTGATGGTGTGGGACCCCAGGAAAGCCTGCATGCTTCTCCTCCCGCTCCCCTTCCCCACACACGCCCTGGGGTTTCGCCGTCCCTTTTCCCGGGGCGGCGGTGCTCAGCTCCCAGGCCACGGTTGTATGAAGCAGCTCGGGAGAAGCAGATGCCGGTCTCTGCCGGGTCCCGATGCGGCGGCAGGAGGAGGCTGGGGAGCAGTAAAGGGGTTTGTCCCTGAAGACGAGAGGTGTCAGATCTACAGCCAGGAAATCAAACGGGCGATATTACACGGAGACTATTTGAAGTTTTTGCTGGTATCCACATTTCCACGGTTCCCGCGGGTGAGGCGGTATTTGCACTAATTTCCAGGCAAGGACTGGCTATTAAGTCCTTCCTCACCCCCTTGTGTACAGTGTGGAACAATAAACAGAAATTTCCTGGTGGCTGGACTCCTAACCTTTATCTTCATTGAGCGAAGGGCACCGCTCTCTATATACCATGTAAATTGTTCTGTTTGTCTTGAAGTTGACAGAGAGGCTTGTGATATTTAACAATTTTATTTGACCATTAAGGTCAAAAAAGTCCCACATATAAGATCTGAGAGGTGTGAATTGACAGCCAATAGCTTTTTCCGCCCTGCCTGCTTGCTCAAGAATCAGAACCTAATCTTGACTTCTTAAGATAACAAATAATGCTCTTCACACCCAATTCAGGGGCTGTTTTTTGTCCATCACAGGACCAGAGCATAGGGCTGCAGCTTCCTGCCCCAAGCGCTGAGTCTTAAATCAGCCCTAGGTCCCTAAAGCAGAGAGGCATCTTGGTCCTGCGCCAAAAGGCAGCTCTGAACCAAGAGGAACGGGTAGGTACCAGCCTCTGGCAAGGCTGAATATTTCCTGGGCTTTGAAGGAAGATCAATGGAGATGACCTCCACCCTCAGGAGACTTTGCAGACCTCAAATGCCCATTTCCTCTGCTCCCAGGCAAAGCTTTGGCAGGGACATCGCCTACTCCTTGTCAAAAATGCTTTCTAGATTTGTAACTCAGGCAGCTTCGGGCAGAGCATCTCCATAAACTGGAGTACTTTCTGCTACAAGAACAGCACTGATCATTTCAGAGCTCCTTTATAGGTCTGACATGGGTACAGGTTTTCTCCAACTGGACGCCTGCAAATAAGCTGATTAATTTGCCAAGTCAGTCCAGAGAGAACTGGGCATTGGTTCTCACTTTATATGATTTCACTGGAGACCTCCCATCTTCTTCTCCCTTTGGTACATGCTTTAGTAGTTCTGAAATTCAACACTTTTTGTATATTAAAAAGCTAAAAATTAATATAAATTTAAATTAACAACTTGTATGCTAAAACCTGTACTACACACATACTCCTTAACACCACCTTCCCCACCAGTAGGTTTACTCACTATAAATAACAGCCACAACTGCTTGCTTTTTGCTTCTTATCCCTACCTTAAGTACAATATAAACCTCCAGGAAGAGAAACGCAACAATTACCTTTGCCACCAGCGTCACCAACAGCTGCCTCTTGCCAAACCTGGTTTGGGTCTAGAGGAGCCAAAAAAGGAGATGGAGAACTAGGGAGTTGGGTGGGTGGGTGTGTTTGAGCATATGACAACTAAAATGTGCAGGAGGGGCACCCCGAGACCCTGTGAAGTTTGGGGAGAAGGGCTTGATTCACTGGAAAAGTGACTATTTCTTTCTACCTGCCAGTTCTGCAAACCCAGCAGTAAACTGGGATCTCTTCAGCTGATGCATCGCAACTTCAGATGCAGTCTCACATGTCGCAGCCCACGGCTTTCCTCAGAGCGAGACGTGGGACCGCACCGCCAGCCCGCGTGCTCGGAGCAGGTCTGTCGCAGAGCCCGTTTGGCTTGTCAAGTTCCAGCCGGCAGCAGCGAGAAACAGGCGCCGAACATACCCTGCCATTTCTACAGTGATTTTCTTCAGAGCAAACCCACATTTTAGATAATGGCAACACGGGCAGCTGGATTTCCTGCAACCCTTGTAATGCTGACCTATTAGCCAGTTACAGCGCTGACCAACTTTTCTTCAGTATTGTGATAAGCAATGTTGACCTTAGAACAGCTTAAAGCACAGTAGGCTGAGCAGCGTTGGAGGACTCGCTGCAAAGCTGATGTTTTGGAGCTAATGAAAACATTGCACACAGTCAAAATATTAGAGATTTTGCTCTGATGGATTTAACACTTTACACAGACAGTCTAGCTACAGAAGGGCAAGAAAGCTGGAAGAGAACTAGAGAAAGGTCTTCATAATCAAATCTTTTCACAGCTGAAGAATGAGGTGGGGTTTCAGATGGGGCTTCCGATTCAGAACCAGTTCTGGCATCCACCTCTGCAATTTTGACTTTAGGGTTACTTAAATTCATTGTTCTCAGTTCAGCTTCCAACGTCGTCTGTTATAGGAGCGCTGCCGTTCTGCCCTTCCAGGCCAAAATCTCTAGAGGATAAGTCATAAAAGTTTGTAGCCTTCTGATCTCAGCCAAAATAATAATCTACACATAGCTCTACGCTGTCCGCTCAGCCCATCTCTTAGAAAAACTCAGCTTCTCCCAAACTGGGCAAATCCCTTGTGCATCAAAGCGTGACTCTGCCAGAATGGGGGGATTACCTGCGCTTTCCTGCCAGGCAGTGACAGCGCGTGGAGGTTATTTTAAGGGCAAAGTAGGACCACACTTTGCACTGAGTGCAGTAACAGTGTTAGCAAGGGCAGAGGGAAGAGAGGGAGTGAGGTGCTTTGAAACCTTTGTGATAAAGGTTGAAATTTAAAAGAAATTCCTGAAGATGAAAACTAGGCAGCGTGAGGCTTTTCCATGAGAGAAGCTAGCGTGAAGGAGGGGTTTGATGACAAATACTCATCCTACAGAGTCCAAGGCCAACCCAGCACTCCTGCCTGTGCAGCCCGGCACCGGACTTGCCTCTGCCAGAAGGGACATTTGAGATGCTCTAACCCTAGTATCTGCGTGGCATTTGGGAGCATCCCTCTCCTGCCCAGCCTTCATCGGCAGGCTGAAGAAATCTGAGCCTGGCAGCACCCTGCAACACTGCCGAGTCTGGAGACAAACCCCACAACCACCCAGCAATTTCAGCAGTGTGAAGACGGACCATCTCCCATTAGCTCTGCAAGGAGTCAAACGCTGCTGATGGGGAGTCACAGCTGTTGCAGGAGCACGTTCAAGAGTGGCAAAACAAGGCCGGGCAACTGAAAGATTTAGCACAGCTTCCAGAAAGGAGCCCAAGGCTGGGAGCCACTAGATGTCACTGCCGCCTTGGCGCTGCCACTGTGCCTGCAGACGCCGCCAATAGTAATAGGAGAGTTTTCTACCTTGAACAAACACCGCCTCCGCCTTCAATAACGTGATTGAGTAACGCCACCTGAGCTAACAGCAGCTCGCCTGATACTCCTCTTCTGTGTTGTGGCACCAACCACCCGTGACCCCATTCATCCCCATGATCCCCACTGCCAGAGGGCACGGAAGGAGAATCAGACCCCAGTTTGCACGGTCTCCTAAGTTTAGTGGGAAAGGTGGCAGGGGTTTGCATCCGCACGTGCACTGTGTATGACTGCTTCGTTAGAGATCCCACCGTGACTTTTGTTCTAGGGCAAGTGATGAATTTTTAAGTCAGGCTTTTAGCTTGACTTTTACAGCATTAGGTTCTCCATCTTCCCATGAGTTTTGTCACATAGGATGAAGCACTGCCTCCTCGTTTCATCTTTGGAAAACACAACCACAAGCCCGGAACAGAAACCCCAGCACAGCCCTTGGGCCCTGGGCAGTCACTACAGCCCGACTAAACACCTTCCAGGCCTGTCTTGGACAAGGATGGATGGATGCATCAGAAGGCGACGCTGTATCACGTCTGGCTCTGTGGGCTTCCATTCTGCCTACAATGACCAACAAAGAAGTGTCGGGTGTCGGGAAGATTTTTCACAGCCCTCCCAAATTCAGCTGGCTACAGGTAGCCCAAGTGAAAACTTTGTGCATGACCCTTTATTATACTCCCTCATGTGCATTTTGCACTGGGTAAAACCCAGCAGAAATACACAAGCCCACTCAAAATTACACCACCAAGGTCCCCTATTAATTACACAACAAAGGGATTTGTTCCTAGTGTTGGAAAGGGCTTATCTAGACTATTTTCCTCCTTCCCATCCTTTCTCCTTTTCCTTTGTTGTTCCCAGTTTTGAGCCTCTCAGAAACCTGATTTAAGCAAAATAGCATCAGTTTGCCAAAGAAGGTCCAGTCTCCATCGTCTGTGTTCTATAAAGAGGGTAGATCCTGAAAGGATGCTGAAGCAGTTTGTTTTATTCAGCAGCAGCTGTGCCGTGTACAACCATGGCCAGATCTGCGGTCTGTGTGCCCCCCACCCCTGCCTCTCCCCCCAACTCCCCCCAACTCCAAGGGGATTCGCAGTACAGGGGCTACAGGTACTTACACGCATCACCCAAGATCAGCCTCATAAACCAGCCCAAGCCACGCCAGCAGGCTGTGAGCCCCAGACAGGTAGCGGGGATCAAACATTTCCCCTGATTTGCAGGCAAAGGTATAAACTAGTTTGTGTTTGTGTGTATAATAAGCGTGTCCTCACCGCTGGTTGCAGAGCTGACAGGCAAAGCAGTCCAAATGGTAAACATTATCTCTGGCCCTCATCACCATCTCAAAGGCAGGGATCAGTTTACTGCAGGCAGCACAATTCCCGGTGGTACCAAAGAGCCTGCCAAAGAAGCACAATCATTAGAAGCCATTTTAATTAAATGGAGGAAGGACTAATTAAGTGTAATTAGCAGTATCAAATACTGTATTGCACCAATAAATAGAAGTTGCAGTCTCCATTTCGCTGACCAACCAGTGTGCGGGAACTTGGGATAAAACTGCCTGGTGAGCAGGCTCCAGTTGTCGAGATGAAACTTCATTTGGTTTGCGAGCCTAGGGCTAATTTGCTGTCTAATGGAGAAAAGCATTAAACACTTAGAGCGCTATTTTGGGGCTCACAAAATTTCAGTCAAAAACCATCCGCCTCTCCGCAGCGGTGGGGTAGCTGCGGTAGCTGCGACCTAAGGGAGGGAGGCAGCCTGGCCGCCTCTCACAGCGAGATGCAGAAGACCTGCAAACTTTGCCAACCTTGGCCGGCAGCGCCGTGGTATAGCTCAGGAAGAACCTCACTTACCTGCTGCTTAAAACTAAAAAGGACAATTTCTCTCGCGATGAGCACAACAGCATTTTGCAAGGCGTCTCAGAGAGCAAGCCCTCCTCCCTGGTGCTGCCCCCCTCCTCCCGCCTCCCCATCCCTCCCGGGAGCCAGCTAAGCCCTTCCACCGAGGCCCGAACAGCGTGCTCAGCCGTTCCACTTCAGCTCCCCTCTCCTCGAGGACAGCCCTTCAGCACTGGAAGCTTTGCCATTTTCATCTTGGCTTTCGCTATCTGTCTCCCCAGATGTCTGCTGCTGTTACAGCTCCCGCCGGGGGACTCAACCAAGACTCCAGCATCCTTTCCCCGGCCCCCTTCTCCAAGACGTCCCCGCAGACCCCTGCATGCGCCAGGGGCAGCACGCCACTGCGACGTTAAGGCCACATGAAGCAGCTGGGGCACAAATCAACAGGCCGACAAAACCAAGTTTCACCTGACACTGCGGTCAATACACATGTGGTTAGTTACTTTGCTTAGGAGACGATGAAAATCGTATTCTTGGGGCGATGAGCCTCAAGACGTACGGTTCCTGCCGACCATTAGCTCTGCGCATGCAACGCGTCGCTGCCCGCGGACAGATCTGGGCTCGCGGTTTGTTTCGAGCCATTGGTTCTGGCTGATTCCACAACAGGCAGATGAGAAGCATCAGGAAAATCTATAACCAATTTCTAAACCTGCAATTTGCCAAGCTAATCAATACTAATTATTACCGGCCAGTAATTGTGAATTAAAACACCCAGCAATGTTATAGAAACCTCCACGCAACTCTCCCACCAGCCCGCAGCGCTGCGCTACCACAGTCAGCTTGCTCTTCAGCTATAAAAAAAGGCCACCCTCATTTTGCATTAGAAGCGGTATCAGCGCTCTTTCATTACACCTCGCTGGAAAACCCCAAGACTTCCTATGAAGAAACAGCACTACATTTCCCCTGAAAGTTGAACAACGCAAACCAAATGCAAACACTTGCGTTATAACGGGGCAGGACAGAAAAAATCGCAATGGCAGTACCAAAATTTCTTCCCCTAAGATCCATCATATGAGGGCTGAAAGGCAGAGTAAAATCCCAGCTACATTGTTTGCACTGGCAAACTCGGACCATGTAAGCAGTAACAGGGCAGACCCTTTCTCCCCGTAAGCGGACTCCGGCTGGGTCCCGCTCCTGCAGGCAGGCAGGCAGGCAGGCAGGCAGGGCAGGCAGCTGAGTGTGGTGCTCGGCTGCCTAATGCCAGCAGACAGGACTGAAATAACGTGGCACTGAAAAGCATACAGGTCTCCACCCTGAAGCGCCCTGGCTCTCATTCAGCACCCGCTCACAAATCAAGCCATTAATGCAGACATCCCTCCCTCCCTCTCTCCCCCCATGTAGCTGCCCCCTTCTATGGTACTGCACTTGGGCACGGCAAAACCTGACAGCTTTTGGCGGGGGTTTGCCATTTTCCATAAAACCAGGCATCCGTTTTTAGAGTACCCGAGTCACAGCAAGCTCAAAAAACGAGTCCAATACGTGTTAGGCAGGGAAAGTGGGAGGTTAATCCTAGATTTGCTCTGTGCCCAGCACTGCTACATGCACAAGTATAAAATATCCATTATTCATTAGCATCACAGTTGTGTGGAGCTCAATCTAGATTAAACAAAATAAAGGGGCCCCAGACAGCACCATTTGCATTGTTAAGCAGGCGCTTTTCTTCAGCCTTCAAATGGGAGACTTTTCTAAATGGAAATGATGGGGAAATTTGGACAGATGTTCACTTAACTATTTAAACAGTTAGCTTAAGAAACATGAAAAATGTATTTGGCATCGTATTCACCTGTCTCCTTTCAGGGGTTTTGGGGGTAAACCAATTGTTAAACAGCTTTGACTGTTTGCATAAGATCTGAAGCTTATGTTCTGTCCAGCTGAAATCGTGTTGCCTTCTAATGTCTACATAAACGTAGCTTCCAGCTAGTCAGTGTGCTAATCTTTTTCTCTTCTATCAAGTTTCACAGTCTTCCATACCATCCCCTTCCCAACAGATGAACATTTCACACTTATTCTAGCACTTCCTAATTTTAATCTGCTTTTCAGGGAGTGATTTAGAGCCCTGTATATTCACCATGCTTCTAAAAATAACGCTGTAACTTGTAGCTCAGTGAACATGATTATTATTTTTTTTTTAATCTGCTGGAAGAAAAAGCAAAATGAACACAGATTTTTTGCCTTTTGTGTTTGCTTGCAAAAAACCTGCCACCTCTGATACCTACTTACCCAGAAGCTACTTGAGCTGAAACTTTCTGAGGTGGGGAGCTTAACATTATTGGAAGAGGGAGAGAAGACAAGGAGCAGGAGGAAAATCTTCCACCCCAAGCCCCATCTGTGGTTAAATTTAAAATAACCCCACTATTCTGTGCCCCAGACACCTTTATAACAGATGCAATACTCTCTCACACATTCACGCACACAAAGTTGAAGCGCATTAGAAAAATCTATCAGAAGATGCTCAGCATCTACTTAACAGCTTAGAGCCATTGGCATAAAAGAAGCTGGAAATACAGAAAGGTTTCAGTTTGGAGCTGTTTTGCTTCTTCTGAAAAACCCATTTTTTTTCATCTCCCTTTGAAGTTAAAAGGCAACAATTTTTAAGTACAGATTTATTTCCCCTTATGTAACAGGAAGACCTAGCCAGCTTGTAAATAAGCATAGACTATGCAGATTTAAAATTTAGCACAATTAAACTTCTACCCTGTGGTAGTAATTATGTTTAATGGCTCTTAGCCTGAACTTAACCACGTCTATTGTTGTCAGCCAGTCTAAAAGCAGGAGTTTGTCCAAGGACAATTTTCTGTAGTTTATAGGCACACTAAAAACCCCACTACGCGCTGTTCTCATTGGCCATTGATGTCAGTGTGTATAGTAGAAATTAAAGCTAATTGGCATACAGGAGCAGCAGTGAATGCAAATGAATTAATGGGAAAAGAAGGGAGCGCTCCTGGAAGCGGGAGGCAACAGTCGAAGGATGCTTTTTATGTAGTCTTGTCAGGGCTAAAGAGTAGTCTTCTGCACGATGATCCAGACCTCACGAGCTCTGCGAATACACCTGAAGTTAATTCAAACTATAGTAAAATCAACGGCACCGTGCAGGTTTTGGGGAAAAAAAGAATCGTAAAGGGTCCTCACTGCAGGGAAAACAGGAAGAAACTCCTCATATGAACATATTACGTTTAGCACCCTTTTAACAGATTTTTCCTTCTCTGACCAAAATGTGCAGAGCGGCTAAACAGAGAACCTGATTGCCTATTTCTGTCACCACTAGAAACAACAATCTGTTTTCCTCATTGCCTACAAGGAGAGAGTCCCCGTTTCTTCTCCTCTCTCTAGTCTGGTGTCTGACTAGCTAGCTGTTTGCCATCAAGAAAAAGGGAGAAAATCTTCCCTCTGCAGAAAGAGTGAAAATTTTGGAGCTGTTTGCTTCACAGGAGACAAAAAAAGAGGAACCAGGACAGGCACGTATAAATAATGAGTGGTACAGAAAGGATGGGTTGGGAGTGTCAATCAGATTTTTTTTTAAACAACATAAGAACAAGACAAATTCAAAAGTAAACAGCTGAATTGAGACTGATAATTCCCCAAAGCAAGAGGCTTTGTCAACACTGAAAGGTAAGAATTATGAGTTGGAAGAGGACTAAACACTTACGTACAGATAAGTATCTACATTTGTGTACAGCTACATATTTCTCTATATATTTGTATATCCAGATTATCTGGATATAAAAGTTTTTGAAGAGCTACTGAACCCCATGCTCACATCCTCACCTTTCACCAAGTAGGTGAAATAGGTTTTCCCATACACGTTCCCTATATGTCTGCTGCCATTTATTTCCTAGCTCCATCAGGACCTGCTGTAAAAGACAACTTGCTTTACGTACCTGAAACTCATCATCCTGAAAAGAAAAGGTTTTGCCCCTACCATCTGAAACAAACCAACAACTAGTCTTGCAGTAAGGATGGCTCTTAACAGCTTACAATCCATTTTTTTTCCCATCTGTGGGTATTAGAAATATGCTGAGCTACAAGTCTGATTGACCAAATTTGACTGAATAAGCCAATAATTGCAAGGAAAGCTTGGACATCACTTCAAAAGATGAAAAGAATAAGCTTAAAAGCAACTTCAGACTCAAGGTGTCTAACTTCCCTGTAATCGGCGTTTGCGTAATATTCAGAGAGAGCCGCAGAGATAAGCGTTTCAGCATGGTAAATACATATTAGCTGGTGCGCCCTCCTATCCAGGATGCCGTTGTCAGTGCTGCAGTGGGAAGTCATGTCAGCTGAAGGAAAAGAAATGCCTTTTGATACTAATGAAGCTGGTCAAGCTGTCCTCTCATGAAGCCTTCAAGTTCAATCCCAAAGAATTGACATCTTGCATGCCAAAAAGGTTTGGCATTCGTGGATAGCATAGCGGGAGGAGTTGAACCAGCGTGGGACAAAAAAGCCCTCTGGTCGAGTGACCGCACTAGTTCAGAGATTACTGGGCATAAACTTCAAGGTTGCTC